CTCTCTGAAATTAAAATACATAAATAAAATCAAAATGAGGTTAAATAAAATAATTCTTAACAGATAAAAGTGTGCGTGCGTGCAAAGATCCCAAGAGGAGAATGGAGGAGGGATTGCAGCATGACCACGCTTCCTGGAAGGGGTGATTTCTTGCTCTCTGTCTCTGTCTCTGTCTTTCTGGAGAGTGCACATACCCATAGCAAAAACCTCTAAAAAAAAGTGTAGGGATACGTATAGTGTGGTGAGACGGTGGAGAACGGCAAAGCGGGGGAACTGGCGAATCGGGCAGTGGGTGCGTGGGGTGGGAGGCAGAGAGATGGGGGAGCTCACGGGCGATGCAGAGGAATTGTGATTTTCTTCTGTAGCTGAGTGGTGGCTTCTTTTCGTTAGTTTTCTTGCCAGAGGGCATGCGTGCTCACCAGAGACAGAGAGACAGAGAGAGGGAGAAGGCACCTCCTCATGCCCCAACCCCTTCTCTTCCACCTCGTCATCTTGTTGGGACTTTGGGCACACAGACACACCCCAGGTGTGTTTCTCAGGCTACCGGGGCTAGGATTCAAACTACGCTGTCAGCCTTGTGATCCTGCTGCCCTACCATCAGGGTATGGGACTGGTCTCTCTCTATTTTAATAGCTTCATTTGGGATAAAAGTCACAAACTGTATGTTTATTCGTATGTGTGTGTTGGTGTATGTGTGAATTATTTTGCTAGAGATTTTTGCTATAAGGCACGTGTGCTAACCGGAGAGACAGAAAATCACCCCCTGGGAGCTGGCCACACTGCAGATCTTCTCCATTTTCCTCTCAGGATCTTGGGCACACATACACACGCACCCAGCATGTTTTAAGCCACTGGTTCCGGGACTCAGACTGTGGTCAACTACGTGGGCATCCGGTGCCATCTGCTGGCCCCACGTGTGTGACTTTTGTAACTTAGCACGGTGTTCTCCAGGTCCGCCCGCGTCGCAGCCTGTGTCAGCATCCCATCCCTTTTTATGGCCGAGTGATACCCGTTTGTATGGAGAGAACACTTTGGCTCCCCCATTTATCAATCAGCAGACGTTTGGGTTGTTTCCACTTCACAGCGTTACGATAATGCGCTATGAATATTTATGTACACACTTTTATGTGCACACATGTTTTCCTCTCTCTCCGGCTACCCAGGAGTGGAACGACTGGGTCATATGGGAACTCTGGGTTTAATCTCTCGGGGAATGACAAAACTTTTCCACAGCAGCTGCAGCATCTTATACTCTCACCGGCCACGTGTCCTGGTTTCAGTTTCTCCACATCCTCCTCAGCATGTGTTACAGCCCGTCTTCCTGGCTGCAGGCACCTCGGGGGACAGGGAGTGATCTCACTGGGGTCGTGACTTGCGTTTCCCTAATGGCTCGTGACGATGATCAGCTCTTTATGTGCTCATTAGCCATTCGTATATCCTCTTGGAAAAATATCCCCTAGATCATTTGTCTCTTCTTTAACTGGGCTTTTTGTCTTTTTATTTTATACCTTAATTTTTTCTTTTTTCTTTCTTTCTTTCTTTTTTTTTTTTTTTTTTTGCTATGGGGTATATGTGCTTGCTGGAGAGAGAGAGAAAGTGAGAAAGCTCCCTCAAGGGGGAGTGGCCACCCTGCAACCCCTTCTCCACTCTGCTCTCAGGATCTGGAGCACCATGCACACACCCTTGGCATGTCTCTCAAGTTGCTGGGTCCAGGACTTGAACTGCAGAGTCAGCCATGAGGGATCTGGCACCTTAAGCACCATGCCGTGTGCTCTATCTTTCTGGGAATCTGTCCATTTCATCGAGGTTATCAAACTTGTTGGCATGCATTTGTTCATGACATTGTCTTAATTTTTATTTCTGTAGGATTGGTAGTAATGTCACTTCTTTCATTCCTGATCTCAGTAATTTGAACCTTTTCTCTTTTTTCTTAGTCTAGCTAAAGATTTGTCAATTTTGCTGATCTTTTTGGTGACTAATGGCTTCCTGGCTGCTTGTTTAGAAAAATTATACCTCATAAATTACATATATTCACATATAATCTGTTGTATGTGTAAAATATTGCAGAGTAAAATTAGAAAAGGAAGGAAAGTGGAAGGAATCATACTTCAGTTCATTATCTTAAGAAACTTACTAGGGCCATAGGTCTTATATTTAAATTTCACACTGAATTGTCTGCTTAATCAGATAAACTAATTTCTGAATTCTTTTTTTTTTTTTTAGAGAGATTTTTGCTATAGGGCACGTGCGCTCACCAGAAAGTCAGAGAGAGACAGAGACAGAAAGCAAGAAATCACTCTCCAGGGGGGATGGCCACACCACAATCCCTTCTTCTCTATTCTCCTCTTGGGATCTTGGGTACGCACGCACACGTGCCCAGCGTCAATTTAAGCCACCAGATCTGGGCTTGAACCGTGGTCGCCTATGTGGGAGTCCAGTGACGTAGCCATTACACCAACTGCTGGTCCCAATTCTTTTTCTTTTTTTCTTTTTTAAGAGATGTTTGCTATAGGGCATGTGTGCTCACCAGAGAAATGGAGAGACAGAAAGTGAGAAATCACCTTCCCAGGGGGAATGGCCATGCCACAATCTCTTCTCTCCGTTCTACTCCCGAGACTTTGGGTATGGACAGAAACACACCTGGTATGGGTTTTAAGTCACCAGATCCGGAACACGAACTGTGGGCAACTGCATGGGCGTCCAGCAATGTAATCATTATGCCCTCTGCTCCTCCCTAATTTCTGAATTCTTGAGGAGTCTATCTTTAAACTGAAATCAGTGCTCTGCTTTATAAGGCAAAGAAGTAATTGATCCAGGGGGAGCTCCTTCAGTGAAAGCGATGAAACGATACAGTGTTCATGACGTTGCTAGTGATATTGACACATTTGACACTGAATTAAGAAAGCTGTAACAAAGTACCACAAACTGAGTGGCTTAAGACAGACATTTATTGTTACAGAAGTTCCAAATCCAGGTGTCAGCAGGGTGCGCTCCCTGTGAAATCCGTGGGGAGAATACCCTTCTTTGCCTCTCTGTTTTCTGGCCGTCCCTATCATCCTCGGCATCCCTTAGCTTAAAGCCGTATTGCTCTGGCCAGCAGGTGGCGCCGTGGTTAAGGTGGCAGACTGTGGTCTGAGTCCTGGATCTGGCGGCTGGAAAATCACGCCAGGTGTGCGTACATGCTTGCCCAAAGATCCCAGGAGAAGGGAGAAGGGATCGTGACACGGCCATCCCCTCTGGGGGTGAGTTCTGTCTCTCTTTCCGGCAAGTACACATGCCCTATGACAAAAACCTAAAAATAACCCGTATTGCTCTAACCTCTGTGTCATAGGGCCATCTTCTCCCTGTGAGTCTCTTCTCTTCTGATAGGGACACTAGTCTTCCTGGATTAAAGGCCCACCTTATTCCAACATGACCTCATCTTAATGAACTACTGTGCAATGACCCCGTG